AACTGGCACTCTGATTTGGAACATGGGCTAGATAGGCAGAGACTTAACCTGCTGTGTTGTAGCAGCAGTCCTGGCACAATTATCTTAATGACCAACTAGTTCAGTTGTATCCAGGACTCACAGAAAGCTATCAAGATGGTTAACAGAACACAGCATGCCTAGGGAAAAAAATTGAATAGACAATACAGTCTACTCAACTAAAACAAATCAAAGATGAATTATCAAGATGATAAATATTGCCATCTTATAACATGTCATGACTGTGCCCAATATGTGAACCTGAGATGGTTCATAGTCTTTGAACTCATTGATTGAAGGGTTGATTGAATCACCAACCAACCAACCAACAAAACAAACTATAATACCACTGCAAGTATATATGGTAGTGCTTCACTTCTTTCTGTGTATTATTTACTTATATAACTCTACACTATGGAAGGAGGACCTTTGGAACATTTGAGAAGCATCACAAATAGGATGCAGTTCCACATGAATATCTCAGATTATGAAATGGGCATATTACTATGGGATTATCTACTCATACCTAGACAGTGTCGCCTAAAAATGCCAGCTTACTCGAGATAAAATGGCATTTTTGAAAGGGCAGCTAGGTCTTATGGAGATAATATCTTGGAAGGAAGGGGTACTGTCCTGCAGGATGCTGCTGAATCCTAGATAAATGACCATTATTATATCATTTTTTTTCTTGTAGAATATGCAGGTCCAAGTACCATGGGATGACCTCACTTACTACTATCACATTCAATGACTCAACTTGGGGAAATCTGTATCCTTTCCCGCAACTCTGTACTCTGCCAGTTCAGATGTTCAAGTTCCGAGAAAAGGAAAACACGTCTATTAAGTGATACAGAAAGAACCCCATTAATCTTTAAGCCATTTCTGCTTCTCAGTTAATTTAAGGTCCTTGTGTCTGGAAGGGCAGATAGGAAGAGTTGCCATCCTAGCAGGAGCAATTAGTTTGTATGATCTGCTGAAAGTAAGCTGTTACTACCTCACAAGTTAGTAAAGAATATGTTTGATATACATATTGGTATCCACCGAGTCCCTTTTTGGATTCCCTGCTCAATTTTGGTGTTAACCAAGTAAGGGCATCAGTCTTGGTCTGAGAAGGGTGTGGTGACCAAGAGCACTCAGTGACAAAACGCTGGTAACCCTACTAGATAAACTATTTACACAAAAAAAGGAACTGACTGTTGGTGAGAGGAATCTATAATGGTAATAATAGATTATGAATATTATCTCACCATAGTTCATTTTAAAATTTTACTCCAAGAAAGCAGACTAACCAGAATCCCAAAGTAGATTTTCCCAGATAGAATTATCACATGTAGAAGTTTATCTGAGTGGATGCTCCAGCTAGATCCTTCTCAGGACTGACCTATCACTTCTGCAGCTCCTGAGAATTTCAGCCGTTGGCTATCCACTGAGCCCCTCTGTAGAAAATTTCCCAAGCCAAACACAGTGGACTTTCCCACTCATCTGACCTGTGAAGAGCAGTACAACTGAATGACTGGTTAATGAGGAGGGCGATAGGTGCATAAAGGCTTAGGGCAGTACAGCTCTGAGTGACATGTCACAGTTTCAGAACTTCTCCAGAGCTTGAAAAACCTTTGTTGCTACTGTCCTAGGATTCATGTCCAACCCATGTCCAACCCCACTTCTTCCGCCTTCCGTACATGTTATTCTAGAAGGTAAATCCCAACACTGTTGCTTCACACACATTTCTGTCTTCAGAGTTTGTTTTCTCTGAAGACTGACCTAAGACAAATGTATGTGCCCAGTATATATTCAGTAATACATAGGACATATGTATTTAAATATCAGAACATCTTTAAATGTTATAATGTATGTTTTGCTTAAACTGTATATTATATGTATATATAATTAATGTATACATATAGTTACACAAATAATATTTGAGTTGTCTAAAACAAAGTTTGTTTTGTCATGTTTTAAAATAAAGAAAGAAGTCATCAGCAATTTTGGGAAGCAGAAATTCCTACACATGAGTGAATCCAACATATAATTCAGTCAAGAGAATGTTCAGCAAGCCAGGGTCGTGGGATTAGATTCTCAGACCAGTGCCTTAGAATGCATCCAAGTCAGGGAAGAGCATATTTAAATGATGGTTCAGGTTTGTTCTGTTCTGCTTTAGCCTGTTGACATTGCCAACAATAACAGAAGAGCTAAGGATACATCAGTAAGTGGAAAGACCAAGCTATTAACTATTTGGAACCCAAGGAGAATCCAATTATTTTCTGTTCTTAGGTTTTCTAGCTTCACAGTTTTTAGGTTTTTTAATAACATAATGCAGGTCCTGTCTTCTAAAAATGAGCCTATGACCTAAAGAAAATACATTTTTAATAAGAAAGGAAAGAGTTGGGCCAGAATTGTGGCCTAGTTGGTAAAGCTACTGCCTGTGATTCTGGCATCCCATATAGACACCAGTGCATGTCCTGGGTGCTTCACTTCGGATCTGGTTCCTTACAAATGGCCTGGGAAAAGCAGCAGAGGGTGACCTAAATGTTTGGGCCCCTGCCACCCAGGTGTGAGACCGAGATGAAGCAACTGGCTCCTGGCTTCGGACTGACCCACCCCTGATCATAACAGCCATCGTGGGGGTGATCAGCAGATGGAAGATCTCTCTCATCTCTCCTTCTCTATAACTTAGACTTTCAAAGAAAGGAAGTAGTTTATTACTGATTCGGAGTCCACTTTTAAAAGTTATTCAGGCAGGGGGGCCTGCGCTGCCTGAAGCGCCAGCACCCCCTATGGCGCAGGTTCAAGACTTGGCTGCTCCACTTCCAATCCAGCTCTCTGTTATGGACTGGGAAAGCAGCAGAAGATGGCCCAAGACCTTGGGTCCCAGCACCTGCATGGGAGACGGGGAAGAAGCTCTTGGCCTCTGGCTTCGGATCGGCACAGTTCCTGCAGTTGCGGCCAGTTGGGGAGTGAACCATTGGATGGAAGACCTCTCTCTCTCTCTCTCTGCCTCTCCTCCCTCTGTGTAACTCTGACTTTCAAATAAATAAATAAATCTTTAAAAAGTTATAAAAAAAGTTACTAAGGCTGAATTCAGTCAATATTCTGTATTATTTGATTTATGTAAGGACTAATCACCAAATACATGAATATCTTATAGATTTTTTAAAAACTATTCTTTAATGATAATGAAGCCAGCCACTCTAAATATTGCAGCTTATTAAAACCAGACAGCATATATCCCTCAGCAATTAATAGAGTGAATTTAAACTGCAAGTTCCTTAAACTTTACCAAAAGCAGCATTTGTTCTGTGAATTTACACTGCTAAAATTATACTTTTGAGGTAGCTGTGAAAAGATTCTAATGTTGGAAAAGAGAAAAAAACCTCAGAGAATTGCAAAACTAGAAATCAAAGTAGGGCTGTCAAACAATTCACGTTGAAAAAAACTTTTTTAAAAATGGAGAAATTTTAGATTATGTTCTTGGATATCATAGGGCAACTCTTCACTACTTTTGTTGGCTTTTTATTATTTTAATACATCAGAAAGAATCTTTTCTGAAGAAGAACGCCTTTTAAATATTCAGGGCAGAATGTGCCCATAAACTTTAACATTGTTATGTCCATATAAATATTGTAGTTTCTTTTCAGGCTTTCCCATCAAAGTGCTTGTCATGTAGAAGCCTTTGATGGCTTAGACAATAGACAAAGACATTTTCTACCTATTTAAAACAAGAGATTAGTGCATTATGAAGTAGTAAAATAAAGATACGGAAATAACATGGAATCCGTGGGAGTTTCCGTGAGGCTTTAAAAATAATAATATTTATAGCTAACTTACTGAGCATTTTTTATATGCCCAGGATCTTATGAACTGTTCATGTAATCCTCGAATAGGCTGATTATTATGGTACTATTATTATTACTATTTTTCTGATAAAGAAATATTAATGATAACAAAGGTTAAGTAAACTTTACCTCTTATAAAATTAACATGGGTGGAACTATGGCCATGCAGCCGATGTTTGCATCACATTCCATAGGGATCTATAGTACTAAATTGGCATGAGCACATGGAACTGAGAGCTCATTGTTACACTCAGGTAAATATACTTCTTAATTTCTTTTTGCCTTCATTTAAGACCCTTGGGTGTGCTCCATTAGGGGTGATCAACTATGGCCCCTCAGCCTGTATTTATAAATAAGCTTTTACTGAAACTCAAAAATACTCGTTATTCACTCGTTTATCCATTGTGTTTGGCTGCTTTCACTTTACACTGGTAGAGATGAGTAGTGAAGATGATGACTATATGACCCACACACCCCAAGATTTAATGGAGTAGTGTTTTTCCAGGAGATGCTACACCTGTGATATCTCTTTAGAATTTGTGTAAAATGGCACACATTTAATTATAGTATTCAATATTAGAAATATTAATGCCTTTTAATATTGTCTTCTGTCTGCACATTTCATATCAACAAATATAATTGGGGTTATATTTGGTTACAGAGAACAAGGTAAAATTCAGTTCACTGTATAGGCACATTTTGTTTCCGTAAAAATTGAAATAATTTATAAATATTCTTTGATCTTTCAAGGTTTCATTTATAAATTATTGGTAGGAGCCATACATTATGGGACTGAGCCAATTGCGCTGCATGGTAATGACAATAATTCCTCTGTTGTATTCTTTTTATTAAACCCTTAAATTTAAGAGTTTTGAATTTTGATCTCTCGGAGTTCTACTTTTATGTGATTAGAAGTTGGAAATACACAGTCATTTGTACCATCTCAACAAAAGTATCTTAGGAAATAACATTTCTTTCTTGCCTCTTGAAATTTCTTGCAGATAAGCGGAATAAACAGTGAGGGAAAAAAAAGCCTAGCCATGAGTAATAGAATCAGAAGTGTTCACCTTTGTTATTTGTATTTGTATAACATTTGAAAGTAAGTGTGTAACTCTTAACGTTGCCTGTTGCCTGTTTTATTTCTTTTAGATTTGGATGACCCAGTAGTAACTGTCCATCAAAGTATAGGTGAAGCTAAAGAACAATTTTACTATGAGAGAACAGTGTTCCTCCGGTGTGTTGCCAATTCCAATCCACCTGTTCGGTACAGCTGGAGACGTGGCCAGGAGGTGTTACTGCAAGGGTCTGATAAAGGAGTTGAGATTTATGAACCCTTCTTTACCCAGGTAGGAACTAAGCTATAATATTTCTGTCATACTTTGCTAAGATACTTTCCTAACTCAGCAACATGTAATATTGTGGCTGCTAGGAAAGATAACTTCCCCTAATTTGGCCTTTTAAGAACAGTAGGTCCTTGACTGAAAGATTTAGAGGACTCAAATATGAATGTGAAGGGTAACTTTTTTATGTAAAAAAATGAATTTCCAACATTTTGTTTGAAATGTTAACTCTTGAATATGTTTTTATGTGTATGCATCCTAACATATTTCTTTGTCCAAGCATTTATTCATGTTTCACTATAAAGTACATAATGATACATTTTGCTGACTGGTTTGTTTTTGTGGAAAATATTTCTAACACGGAGAGATTTTGATATCCCTATTTGCAATGGTAAGTAAGGTATAGAGCAGTTGTGCCTTGCCACATTGTATGCCTCTGAAGATCATCATTGCACATGAGTTGCTAGTAGTCTTCCATGGCAGAATATTGAAGCCTATTCTGATCTAACCCCCTCTTGACTGAGGCCCCTAAGGTATCAACTGTGTTCTGCCTGCAAGTTAGGACTTAATTTCCCCTAAATATTCTGTACTACTACAACTGCAACTCATTCTTCTCTTTTTTACTAAAATTGTTTGCATTGGCTAAAAAAATGAGAAACAAAATCATTCTCATCCAGATAAGAGTTCACCAGTTTGATTCATCTTTTTTTGTTATTTTTTTAAATTGAACATTGTAACAATTTAGGACACAAATTTTCATCTGGAATTTTGTGAAACATGATAATTTTTATGGATTGAGATAATTCTAAACACCTGTTCACTCTTGGGTTGTCTCATCTGCGGATAGTCTGAGCACTTGGGAATGAACATATGGACCTTGTCCAAATTTTGGGAAACCTTTTAAACTATCAGAATAACTAAGAATTTGGTTTAAAGCTATTAAACAAGGTTATCAATCATTCTTTGAATCTGTCTCTGTTCTATGGAAGCAGTTCTGGGAGGCCATCTTGGAAGAGCTCTGAAACTTGTAGCTATTGATTCTGCCCTCTTAAAAAACACTTTCACTTACTCTTTTCTGTTTTATCCTGCTACCCCCTTGTGAGAAAACAACTCCTTTATTCAAAGATGTTATTATGAATACTTCCTTTTATCTGAATATTAGTGTTTACTAACTGGCACCACATCCCACCTTCGCTTTGCTCGTAAATCTGCTGCTTAGTCTACATTAATTCTTTGGGAAAATATCTAAGAGGAAGAGTCATTGACCTGATGGTCCCTAATGGCTCAGGTGATTGGTTTTCTGCCACCCTGTTGGAGACCTCTGTTGAGTTCTTGGCTCACGGCTTCAGCCTCAGCCTCATTGTGGCTATCTGGAGAGTGAACAATAACAACCACAGAAACCTTAAATGTCTAAAAATCTAAGAAATATAATCGGCTTTTCCTTGCAATACTGTGTGCTAGATTAAGCAATTTTAGTTAATAATTATCAATCATGTTGCTTTTGTTCCTATTTAAAAAGATTATCCTGCCTTTAATTATGATGCTTATCCTTCCTTCTTCTTTAGCTGGTATTAGTATGTGTCCAGAAGATTTAGGTGAAGCAAAAAATATTTCAATATTTTTATTTTAGATGTACACTTAATTTGTTAATGTACAATATATGTTCTAGTCCAAACTGATGGAAAGTCTCAGATATCAGCATATAGCAAGTCTACTTCTTGCGGCCATATTCTTGGTTGTTTTTTTCATAGAGAGGAGATCATCGATGCTTTTTCCTTGTAGAACTCAACCTTGATATACTGTATGCAACTGATACACACAGGTAAACCACCATATCACACTTGTTCCATTACCCCTTCAGGGAACAAAACAGTAGGCTCCTACATGGCGTTCATGCTTTATTACAGAAAACTGCAAACATCCAGAGTGATAATTTAGAAATACAAATATGATAAGGTATTTTTTCTGTTTTAATACCTCTAGTTGCTTCCCAGTGTTCACAATAAATCCAGATGATGTCTTGTGGTCTATTAGAACAGGCCTCTACCATGCCTTGCCTTGGAGTCTTTTACCTGAGCTGCTATTCTGCTCTAGCCAAAGTATGCTAGAGCTGGCCGTGTTCCTCTACGCCGGGGCTCTGCACAGTGTTGATCCCTACACCCAGAGTGTGCTGTACTTGATAATACACTGGGACTCTTCTTAATACGTGAGGTTCATCACCGCAAAGAGAATTTCCCTGACAAATCTACGATGAGTCATCAGCAAGTTCGTGGAAAATGTGTGTCAAGAAAAATTATGCACGGAATGCAAAATATTTAGCACCAGAATGAACTTATCTTTTAATTTCATTTGCCCACAGAATCTTTCACTGCACCATCATGTATGAAGTAACATCTCTGCCTTTCTGTAGTTACCACTTCCCAATAACAAGCTTTATTTTTATTGTGGGACAAATGATAAAATTATTTATTTTTTCAGACATAAACTCTAACTATAGAGTCTTAGTCTGCTCTTAACAGCTTAACAATGCCTGGCACATGGAAGATTCTCAGTAAACATGTTAAAAATTGAACTAATACTCCTTTGGAGACATTTGAATTACTAGCTGTGGGATAGTTAAAGTTAGCTCCAAGGTACAAGTAATTCCTGAATCACTCTCTGTAAATTTCTCTATTACCAATAAAGAAACAGGGAAACATAAATGAGAATGGTGTTATAAATGAATCCATTTTATTGTATTTAATTTCCAACTATTGGAGATTTTGTAGTTGTAATTTTTAATTGATTTATAGTTTAATTCTACTATGCCAGAAAACATTCTGAATCACTTCAGTCCTCAGAAATTGAAATTTGCCTTGTGCATAGCCTGTGGTCTGTTTTCATAAATATTGTGTATGCACTGAAAATAATGTGCATTCTAAAATTTTCAAGTGCCAGTTAGTTCAGGTTTTCTAATTGTATTATTTAAATCTGTATTTCTTCTGTTTTTTTTTTTTTCATCTGCTGTTCTCAGAGCTATTAAGAGAGATCAGTTAACCCTTGTGAGTACAGGTGTGGATTTGTCTGTTTGCTGTCATTTTTACTTTAGACGAGCATGTTTTGAAGAGGTATTATTACTGCTGCGGGATTTAGAATGTTGTATCATAGATGATCTTGTTAGTGCATTATAGATGTATGTTACCTTCCTGATATTTTATCTTCTTGGTAGATTATCTTTCAGAATTATCTTCCTTAATCTCTAGGAGTGTTTCTTGCCTTAAGGTGTTTTCTGTTTTCCAGTGTAATGGCACAAGCTTTCTTTAGATGAGTGTTTTGGGGACAGGAGAGTAGTATAGATGGCGATAAACATTCAGCTCTGCTTCTACTTTTTAACTTTTTATGTCTCCACACCTACAATATTTTACTTGTAACTAATAAATAGATTTTGTTGTTGATTTAATTAAGTGCAACAATCTTAGCTTATAATACATTTAATCAAGTAATATCTGTTTTTTATACCAGTATATAATTCACTTGTTTTATTTTATTTTGCCTTTTTCTTGACTTCTTTTGGATTTATAAAATATTTTTATCATTCTGTTTTCTCTGAGTTTATTATCTTAGTATCATTTATTGGTAACCTTAAACTTATATCCTTGATCATTACTTTCCCATTTTCTCAATAGTAATGGCTAGAATAGTACAATCATATTTACTTTTTTGTATTTATTGCATTTCAAGTGTTTTACATCTACAGATTTTTATTATAAAATATTCCTAAAATTTTATATATTAATTTTGTTTATTTGAAAGGCAGAGAGAGAGAGAGAGAATATGCTATAGACTGGTTTACCCCTAAAAGCCTGCAAAAACAGAGTTGGTCCAAGCTGAAGCTGAGAATCTGGAACTTAATCCAAATTCCCCACATGGTTAGCAAGGACCCAAGTATTTGGACCATTGCCTGCTGCCTTGTAAGGTACACATTTTCAGCAAGCAGGAATCAAAAACAGAATCAGGACTTGAACCCAAGTAACTTAAGTGGCATCCTGACCCCTGAGCCAGATACCTACTTCTTTTTATGTTCAAGGAGAATCATTATCCATTAAATTTATTATCCAATTTGCTGTTTCTGTTCGATATTCATTTTGTTTATAGTGTAAGGGAATGCATTAGTTCATTGGGTTTTGTTTTGTTTTGTTTTTTGCAATGAGTATACATATTTCTTATTGAAACATTCATGGCCAGCACCACGGCTCACTAGGCTAATCCTCCGCCTGCAGCGCTGGCACTCCAGGTTCTAATCCTGGTTGGGGCGCCAGTTCTGTCCCAATTGCTCCTCTTCCAGCCCAGCTCTCTGCTGTGGCCTGGGAAGGCAGTGGAGGATGGCCCAAGTGCTTGGGCCCTGCACCCACCTGGGAGACCAGGAGGAAACACCTGGCTCCTGACTTCAGATCAGCGCATGGCGGCCATTTGGGGGAGTGAACCAACTGAAGGAAGACCATTCTCTCTGTCTCTCTCTCTCACTGTCTAACTCTGCCTGTCAAAAAAAAAAAAAAAAAGAAAAAGAAAAGAAACATTCATTTCACAACTGCGTTCCCTCGGCACCTACATGAATACTCAGTTGGCTGTGTATATTGGTATCTGTTTATGAACTACTATTCTTCCCACTCATTTTTTCTCTATCTTTAGGCCAATATCATACTGTCTTAATTATTATGGCTTTATAATAACTCTTAAAATCAGGAAGAATAAGTCCTGCAGAGGTGTTCATCTTTTTTTTTTTTTCAGGATTGTTTTGAATATTTTGAATATACAAATTTGAATTTGTGTTTCAACTTGAATCTCAGAGCTGTTGGGTTGGTCTCTACAGACTGACTGCCAAAATGTTGAGGGGTTGAATCTCCTGATCAAGTTGAGGAGAATGCTACTGAAGCTACTCCTCTGATGGTGACTGCTATTAGCAGTATATCATAATCATGAGAAGAAAACTTTGACCTCTCTCATTTGTATTTTACTTGTCAGGCAAA